ATTGTGTAAGTTACATAATTTCATCACAGCAGACAGTGAGACAAAGAGTGCAGTTTTGGTGGAAGATGAACTGCAGCAGAAAGGAAACAGTGCTGCAGATTAGAAATACAGAGCAGAATGGAAAATGTTGCTTTCTTAACACCCCTTCCTGCATCTGGGCTGACTGCTGGTTGGGCTACTCATTAGCAAGCAGCTTCTTTTCCACACTACTTATGGAGGAGGAAGTTCTAGTGAGTACAGTGGGGATATTGAAAGTGTCTACCTATAAGGGCCAACTCTAATGCCCAATCAATTATTATTATGATACAGTGGCTTTCCCACTGACGATTCCATTGCACTCCATTGCATCTTGTGAACATTCTCATTAGTTCTGAGCAGACCCACATGCTTTTTCTTATTTGTAATATTGGCAAAATGTCAGCTAGTCCATTTCTACTAGGGGCTCTATCTTTTGCAAAGCTTGCCTTGCCTGGGGAAAAAAAATGGAAGCAGGAATTCTTATCCAGCAGAGCACAGTAGAACATACTCCTCAGGCAGCAGCAAAATTCATGGGGGGAAATAGAAGTGGGAGGGAGGAAGACTTTATTTGCTTTGAGATATATTTGCCCCAGAGGATGCAAAAGTTGGGAGGGGGATAATCCCAAAAAATTTGAATCTCCTGGGTAAAACGAGAGCATTTTGAAGTATGACATAAACATCAGTAGCCTTTGTGCCTCTTGAGAGCTCAGCTGAGTCTCCCAGGACTCTGGAGGTTGATTTGTCAGCTTAGCGCTAGCACTGGAGGTGGAGCTGCTTTACCTTTATCGGCAGAAACAGTGGGAGCTGCCTGAGCAGCCAATAGAGAGAGTGATGTGGCAAATCTTTTATGTGGCACCTTTTTTTCAGCTGGGCAACTGTTTCTAAATTGCTTCCAACCATATATGTGCTGCACCCTGAGCTGCAAAGAATGAAATCATCAACTCTCTCTTCAATTAGACAAGAGCTAATTTTAAGTTGTCAGGCGTTTTCACCCAGCGTGCTTCCAAAGCTCAGGTTTTCAGAATTGCCATCCTCCAAATTCATAAGAATGGTTTTGCTTGCTAGGGCAGGCAATAGTCGTCGCCATTTCCCTTGCCCATCTCTGTGTTATAAATTGAAAATATGCAGCATCAACCACACAGATACTGGCATTTGTAATCATTTTAAAAGAGTAAGATTAACAAAGTATTTTAGGAAAAGCCTACTCTCATTGTTCCTTTTTTTTTACATTATTACTATTACTCAATGTTTCTTTTCTGGGGGTACTCAAGGGTACACAGTACTGGCACCCTTCTTTGTTGAATAAAAGCACTGCTATTACTATTACAGTGGTACCTCTGGTTATGAACTTAATTCGTTCCGGAGGTCTGTTATTAACCTGAAACCATTCTTAACCTGAGGTACCACTTTAGCTAATGGGGCCTCCCACTGCCACCGCGCCGCTGCCACATGATTTCTGTTCCCATCCGGGGGCAAAGTTCTTAACCCGAGGTACTACTTCTGGGTTAGTGGAGTCTGTAACCTGAAGTGTTTGTAACCTGAGGTGTTTGTAACCCAAGGTACCACTGTAGTTAAATTTCTGAGCCCCATATGTCACACAACAGATCACAATTGCTTAGGCTACAATTTAATTTTAAAAAGCCATTGTTGCTGGTAGACCAAGGTTATAACCTAAAAAGCCCTTCAACTTATGAACTTTCTTACAATTATATATTTGTTTTGATCCTTATGCTTTGTTTAATGTCATATTATCACGTATTAATTACTGTTTCTGGAAGAATGTGATCCATTGTTTACTCCTGGAGTGCACTGCAATTAAAGCAACAACAAATATCCTGTTTCAGTTATCTAGTATATATATATATATACAGTAATTTGGGTGAGGTAGAAATATTTTCTTAAAAACACACTAATATTGTGCAATTATTCACCTTTTCTCTTGCTTAGTGCTACTGATTCTGCTCATAGCTGCACCATCAGCATTATTTCCTACTTAGCTTCTTCTTCTTTCTCTTTACCAGATGAGTAATGTAAACCATCCCAGCCAACCTGAAATTCTTCAGAGTGAATGGGATGACTTCATAATGCAACATGTGCAATAAGAGCTTGCTGTCCGATGTCCTCATATACCATAAAAAATCAGGGACAAGTGAATTTGTTTGTTTCAGATGCTCCCATTTCCTCATCCATCCTTAAGTTCTGTTCACCCAGTTTCTTCATCAATTTCTGATTTATTCATTTATTAAGTCTTCATTAAAATTCATACATATTTTCAGGCATATTTCTTCTAATATACATAGTTTCTGACAGTTTTGCCTAGAATTGTTCATTTTTGTACATTATTTTCACCAATATACACATTTCTGTGTGCACTTAGCCTCCAATGCACACATCATTGTCGCAAAATTCAGATAAGTGAATATTTCTCAGGTTAGCTGCATTTCGGTTTATATACTGACTTAGGAAGACTGAATTTAGGATGTGAACCAAACCTAACACCTGCCCCATCCCTCTCTGAAAGTGAGGCTGATGCTTCCTTGATTAGCCACAGAGGTGATCCTACATAATCTTAGGCTGCATGGTGAACATGATGATGGCACAATACAATGTTGCTGGTCGGTTCTGGTTTAGCTATGTGATGACGTTACTGAAGAAAACAAGAATGTGTCTGAAAGAAGGCAATGCAAATGAATAGCTGGACATTTGTGCGATGGGTGCCAAAAAACGGGGAACTTTTTTCAACTCAGGTGAAAATGTTGAGTAGGTTCCATTTACCCTGATTCCAGTATTATTTTGTAATCCTTTGAATAAATTTAATAGCACATTAGGGCCGCATCTGTGCTATCAAACCACTTTAAACAGCCATGGCTTCCCCCAAAGAATCTTCAAAGCTATACAGTGGTACCTTGGGTTACATACGCTTCAGGTTACAGACTCCGCTAACCCAGAAATAGTACCTCGGGTTAAAAACTTTGCTTCAGGATGAGAACAGAAATCGTGCTCCGGCGGCGCGGTAGCAGCAGGAGGCCCCATTAGCTAAAGTGGTGCTTCAGGTCAAGGACAGTTTCAGGTTAAGAATGGACCTCCGGAACGAATTAAGTACTTAACCCGAGGTACCACTGTAGTTTGTTAAGGTGCTGAGAGTTTTTAGGAGACCCTTATTCCCCTCGCAGAGTGACAATTCCCAGAGTAGTTTTAAAACCCATCTCTCTTCCCAGGGAACTCTTAGATCTCTAATTCTGTGACCATTCAATACTAGTTCCCCACTTAGAAATCTAAAATCTGCAAAGCATTGCAAGGGTTTCCATTAACTCACATGTGTTTTCTCCCAAGAAAGCATGGGTGGGGAAATTGTGGACCCCCAGATGCCAATGGACTGCAACTTCCAACATCCCTGATCATTGGCCATGCTGGCTACAGTTGATGGGAGTTGGAGTCAACATCTGGGGAGGATCAGGTCATTCTCTGCTATAAAACCTCAGCCTCATTGAGCAAAATCCATGCCACACTCACTTTGGGAGGGGGGAAGGGTGCAAAGAAAGGAGAGCCCAACCACCCCACAGTCCAGCTGCTGTCATAAAACTATTGGTTTGCGGCTGCATTCTGGAGTTGTTTTTCAGGTGGCCTGAGCACTTATCTTCCAAGAGAACACAACTCTTATAACAGTCCTCTCCCTCTTCCAGTGCAAAGCTTACAAAAAAACCCAAAAAAACAAAACACCCTGCCTCTAATCCAGTTTCAAAGATAAAGCCGGTCAGACAGGCATTTATCCCCAGCACTGATATTTGGTGGTTGTAGCAGGGCGTCACTGTTGACATGCTGGAAACAGTGAGAGTTCTGTGATCTACCTGCAACAAGAGGAGGCCACTCTTTATGAGATTCTTTTGTGTCTGCACAGAATTGCAACATTAAATTGCCCTTTGATTTTTCAAAGCCTTCAGTTTATTTGTTTCTCCGGCACAAAGGAACATCTTAAGCAACAGTTAACATAATCTCTTTTTCTTATTATGGGTTTAGATGTTATCTCTGCAGTATCTTTCTTCTCCTATAAGGCCAGAGAAATCTATCCTCACTCTATAATCAGCAGAGGAGGGGGATTCACCTTGATTAACTGTGCTTATGCCACATCATCTTTTACCATCTCTCTTTGTAGGGCTTAATGCAGAAGCGGAGACACCAGGGTGTTCGAAAGCAATTTGTATGGCATTTGAGATGTGGTGCTTCAAGGTGCGCCAGCGTTTCCCACTGGAACCCGGAGTTTCTTTCTTTCTTTGGCTTACATGGGCTTTAAACGAGTCTCCCTTCCCTTCCATGTGTCGCGCAGAAATATTATAGCTGCGAGACTTGCATCTGAGGTTTGAAGTCCAGGGGAAATATGTTGCTCAAGGCACCGATTCATTTCCTGGCTTCTGACAAGATATATTCGTGCACGCAAATCAAACTCATGATTTATACAAAGACAAGCGTCAAAGCACAAAATGAAGGCTCTTTAAAAATACACACTGATCCAGCATTTGTGTGTGTGTGTGTGTGTAAAAAAATGCTGCTGTACATACACTTTTTTTTTTTTAAGGGATTCGTACAGTCATTCACTTTCTTTTGATTTATTACTATATGAGTGAGCTTGTACTTTGCTGGCCCCAAGGGGCTATATTGCACCACCATGCCAATACAAAATAGACCTAAGAATGTGTATAGCAGGTAGTGAAATAAATTTGGGTTAGAAAATTTCATGTAGATGTCTGGGAAGCATCTGTAATCTCTGTGTACATACATGCATAAAGAAGTTTGATTTTTTTTTCCTGGGAGGAACACGGAAATGTCACTTGCTCTCTTACTCAGACACTATAGTGTTTGTTTAGCCATGTAAAGTGGACCACAAGAACTCATATGCAATTATATGGAAACTGCCTTGGACCAAGTGAAACCACTGGTCCATTTAGCTCAGTATTGTCTGCACTGACTGGCAGGGTTTTAGGTAGCCAAGGTGCCAGGGATTGAACCTAGGACCTTCTGCATGAAAAACAGATACTCTGCCTCTGAGCTACAGCCCTTCTCCATCTCCTTTTAAGGACAGCCGTACCTCAGAAGGCAAATGGAATCTGTTCCGAAAGTCCGTTCGACTTCCAAAACATTCAGAAACCACAGTACGGCTTCTGATTGGCTGCAGGAGCTTCCTGCAGCCAATCAGAAGCCAGTCGGAAACCACAGAAGCCCCGTTGGACGTTCGGCTTCCAAAAATAGTTTGCAAACTGGAACACTCCAGGTTTGTGGTGTTTGGGATCCAAAACGTTTGAATTGCAAGGTGTTCGACAACCAAGGTATGACTGTATCCTCTCCCCCATATCTGAAAGAGCCCACTTCACAGTGTGAAGCCAGCATACCATTCTGCATTACCTTCCATCCCTCCCCCTCCCCTTCTCAAGCTGCACACGCCTAGGCCCTTCCAGTTTCTCCCTGCAATGCCACAATGTGCAGACCGTCTCCTCTTTCCTCTTCCCTTGCTTTGTCCATGCTTAGAATACCTCTCAATGTGGACTGGAATATTCTGGTTCAAAGCCTGAATGTGATGCTCTCGGCTCATTTTTTTAAGGCTTCGATCCATTCCTGTTTATTTTATAGTGAGCACGCACACACAAAATCTTTAACCAGGTTGCTTTGAGAGAAGATGCTTTGGGATGAATTCAATATTGTGCTCTTACAAATGTTCCACCAGCACAAGCATTTCTTCTTGCTCCCTTGTCCTCCCTCCTGAGCTGTTCTTGAGGTTCTCCCAAGCCTCAGGAGCAGATTGCGGGGAGCTAAACTGCAGGAGGCAGTAGAAGACAGGAGTGCCTGGCGTGCTCTGGTCCATGGGGTCACAAAGAGTCGGACATGACTAAACGACTAAACAACAATATTTCAGAGTAGCAGTGGCAGGGAGAGTAGCCTTCCCTAACCTGATGCCCTCCAAATGTTTTAGACATCTCCCATAAATACCAGCCAGCATGTTCAATGAGGGATGGTGGAATTTGTAGTTCAAAACATCTGGAAGTCACCATGTTGGGGGGAATGAATCATTGCAGGAGGTGTGGAGAACCTTTGGTCCTTCCTATGCTGCTGAACTGCAATTCTCATCATCCCTTGGAGGCATGGACAATGGCCAGGGATGATGAGACTTGTAGTTTAGAACTATTGGGAAGGCAAAAGCATATGACAGCCCTGAAGTATAGACCAGTGTTGTTACCCAGTCTCTTGGCATTTTGGATTTTTTCTTTCTTTAAGGGAATGCATTAAGGGGATGGCTTTTCTTTAAGGGGATGGCTGTTAAGTTGATTAGAGTAGCAATATGCAGTGAGGGGGATTATTGCTTTCTCATCCATGGGTGGAAAATAGGGGGATTCTTTGGGTGGGTTGCTGCTGCTGGTATAAACACAGCAATGGGTATATCAGTGTCAAAGACTCAAATCCTTATGAGAGAGAGAATTTGACTTATTGCTGTAGTTATTATGAGGTATGAATGATAAATAACCAGAACAAACACTCTTAAAATATACAGCTTTCTTTTTAGCAAACTGAATATCAAATGTATAGTTTATCCAAGCACAGACATCTAAATTTTGGTTGCTGCAAATCTTAAATCTTTTTTGACACCCCTTAACCTCCATGCCTGATCTTGCTATGAAAGCAATATCAATTGCTTCTGATCAATTGATGGAAAACCCACGATAACATAACTGGTTTCCAACTCTCGTAGATTGAATTCTTTGCATGGTTTAAAACTGGCACTGGGATGAAATCAGGGCTCTTGCTCTTTTAACACTGTGTGGCAGGCCGAAATTCAACAGGTGAAACCTTTTCTAGTATGGAAAGACTTCACCTATTGGCGTTCTGTCTGTCAGACACTTTATTACTTGCTTGCGGCCTCTGATTTGTTTTTGGAGCCTCCGCCCTTCCCCAAAAGAGAATACAAATTTGCATATGGCACAAAGGATGTGCACATTTTATGCAAAAAGAAAAGAGCCTCCTGTAAGAGGGACAGGGGCCTCTGTTCGCATACGGAAAATCCCCTTGGCCCCCCTGTTAAAAAGTAAGTTTCACTAAATTCAATTGGCTTGTTTCTAAGTAAACATAGGTAAGATTAGGCTGCATAAGGTTTCTAAACCTGCCACTTTCTAACTAATCTCTCAGAAATTAATGGCAGAAAGGAACACACACATGCATTACAATAAGTGGAGCTTACCGTCGTTAGCTTTCTCATATAAAAGCATTAGAATTACATTCAACCATATATTATCAGCGTGATAGAGAACCCTGAACTGTGTGGCGTGTTGTTGCCTTTGTGAAGATATTGGCCTGTTTTGCAGTGGAGGAAAAGAGGACCTTTCTCTCAATGGAAGAGAAAATCCTGTGCCATCATTGATGGAAAATGAAAACTGATAACATCTGAGAAACTGCATTCACCAAAAGAGCAAAGTTAGTCATTACAAGTATACTTAATATTCATATTTTTTTAAGTTATATCTTCAGACCTAAAGTGGGGTACAAGATTTAAAATGTAGGAGCTCTCTATTTTAATGTCTAAATGTTTGCTGAAAACTTTTCTATGCTGCTACACTTATGCAAACAATGAAGAAGAAATATTCTGTAACAGTTAGCATGTAAATGTTTATGAGAATCTTAGTGTATAGCTATCTATAATGGTCATGAACTGCTTTAATTTCTTTAAAAAATGAACTTGCGGTATATAAGTATATTTTCATAAAGAAATAAATAAACAGAAAGTAGAATAAAAACAACTAAATCAGAACATAAAAAACAACAACCAGACAAACGTTAGTGACTGGAATGAGTCAATTATCAGAAGAAGCCCAGTGGAAGAAAATTGGTTTCATCATACGTCAAAAAGACTAAAAGGAAGAGGTCAGACATGCTTCTTGAATTCTGCAATGGAGTTTGAAAGCCTGGGTGCCACTCCAGAGAAGACCCAATCCTGCATGCCCACCAACCTATATTTTGCTATTGGAAGCATGCCAAAAAGAGCCATTGCTTTCGAATGTTGTGTTCCTTGGGTGGAGGGTGGTGTAAAAATTCAATAAATAATTCAATAATATGATTTTAATTAATCAAGCAACTGATCACAAAAAAAGCAAAACAGGATATGACCAGAATAGGGTAGGGAAGACCCTTGATTTTTAAATTCCTTCTAGATTACAATATTGTGAATTCACAATTATTTCAACAGAAATTATAAACTGGATTTAAAAAACAACAACCCAGAACCACCCAAGCCCACTGTATTCCTCAAACTAGGTCCTGTTGCTGCAGTGTTGCCGATTAGAATGCCCCTTTCTTTCCATCATTTACAGCATGCAGTATAATCTCACATTCGGATGGTGCCTACATGATCAGAAAGGAAGCCACATTGTGGTTGACATGAAACATAGCTCTACATAATGTATTTGGATAACCATTGATTGCTGAGGTTGGGAGATAATTCTGCTGAGAATTTGGTGACCTGAAATCCTATTCTTCACGTGGTTTGTTTGTTTGTTTTTTAAGTGAAAGGGAAAGTTTATTAACACTCATACCATGTGTGCGTGTGCGTGTGCGTGTGTGTATGTAAAATATATATAGCTAAATCTATATGTTTCGCTTTTCTGTAGAAAAATAGAAATCTGAACCATTTTTAACCCCCCAAACGATGAAAAATAATAATTTTGTCTCTCATCTTGTCATTTGGCTTTCTTTGAAGTCACAATATTAAACCTCCTTAAAAATATTTATGTGTATTTAGTTAACAAAAGCTCCTGTAAGTTGAATCCATGCTGGCAAAAGGTTCAGGTAAGCTCTCTATATAAGCTTACAGACAATTGTGTAAATCTTCAGCCATTAAAGAGAAAGGAGAAAAAAGCCATCCTCATTACACTCCTGTCATTTACTCTTCATCTCCTGTCCTCTTTAGCGGCATTAAGATGGGATGTAAATTTGCCAGTTAATGCTGTTAGAAAATGGATGGTTCAAGAAGGGCAGGAATTAGAGATCAGTATTAGGTGCAGATAAGCTCCTTTCCCTCCGCAGTGGCAGCTGTTTAACATTCATGGGAAAATCATCATCAAACAACGTTATCACAGCTCTGTTGATGGCAGAGGAACTTCATCACTATGATAATTTTTTTATATAGCTGTGAGCCAAAAAGCTCCCTTTTATTTCTGCCGTCTAGAACTGCAGCAGGGGCTTGTTTGTATGGGTAGGGTATTGCAAACTCATAGCTCTTCAGCCAGGTTTGATTCTTCCCCTCCCGCAATGCCCCTTCTGTTCGCCCCCCTCCTTTCGCCTTGTGTATGTTGCACTAAACAGTCGTGCTGATAAAAACAAGGAGTGCTGCTCAAACAACCCTTCAGACCAGAACTGATATTTCTTTATGATCAGTAATTCAAAGTTTGACAAGAGATGCTGTTCGGTAATGAAATGGCCATCCATCTTCTTGGGAGCACAGCGCCGGGATTACAAGAAAGGGAACACAACAGGGCAGAGAGGCAAATATCAGCTGCTACGTATCTTGGCCAAGAAAGAGTTTTCTGCTTCATTGCTAAGATCTGGCCGTGCACCGGCTCAGCATCACAGAATGTGACATTGCACAAGGCCGCTTGTGAAGTTATTGCAGGCGGGAGGTCCTGCGTCTTCATGTTTCTCACTCTGACTCTTCCTTACTTATACAATCCGTGTTTCTTACACAGTCATTACTCTGGAGTAAGGGACTTGAGAAGCCACAATGCAACAAAATCAGCAACAATTGCACGGTTGCCATTTTTAAACATGGTAAACAATGGGTTTGCTTGTGTGTTTAATTTCTACTTGGTTTCCTGTGTTTTGCACTCAGATGCTTCAGGTTTTGGAAGATGTTTAGGGGAGGGGGAGGTGTCATCTGCCGAGTCTGTGGTCCATAGCAGATGTCACACCACATGATAAAAGGACTCCCTTTTGTCCCACTGGGGGAAGCATATCTGGTTGGAAAATGTGTGTAGGGTGGGAGGACAGAGAATTATTTATCTTTAATACTTTTGTATTTTAAT